TTGTTGTTGCACTGTGCGTTGTTACTGTGTCTCACAAATAAATGGTATTGTTTTCATTACTCCTGAAGCCTGGTGTTCCCTATGTCAGTCCACACATCTCTGGTCATAGCCAGGTTACTGACACTCTAATTATCTTAAATCTTTTCTCCGGACTATTTAACCCTTTGACATTATACGTCATAAAATTAACCTCCTCCATTACTATAAATTTTTCAATTCTCTCTTTCCCTAGGATTCTCCTTATTTCTTCTATCTTCTCTTTTTTTGCTGAGTGTCATCCTTATCCCTCCCCCCCACCTCCCCCAATTCCCAACTCCCTCCCCTCCCTTCCCCCTCCCCATCCCTTAGGCTACCTTTTTGTCTACAAATCATTTGTGGTCCTATTCCCACTTTTGATTCGACTTTAAGGTGGTGCTCCGACTATGTACGATTCACCAGCCACCTCTTCTCCTCCATACCCCGCCACTCTCTATATCCAATGGTAAGTCTGCAGCAACCCACCGGAGTGGGAGGGCTGGAAGGAGAGAGAAAGAGGGGTGGGTAGAAAAAAAAAAAAAGAAAAACCCTTCCCTCTTCCTTCTCCCCTCCCTCCCCTTCTCTACTCTCTAATTTTTCCTTCTAGCTACCTTCCAATCCTCTTTTTCAATAGCCCATATCTCTCTTTCCTCTTCTTCCCACCCAGGTATCTCTATTCTCTGCAAATCAAGTCTCTCACAAAAGTCTCTCATCTCCTCAGGAAATCTCAGTCTTGCTGTACACCTATTTCTGCATCCAATTAAACACGCTGGAAAGCCCCATCTATATTACACATTTTGCTTCCTCATCTGCTCCAACAATGGTTTCAAGGATCTCCTTCTTGTCAATGTCTCTGCTGCTAAATCAGCAAAAATCTGGATATTTATTTCTCCATATTTAATTACTGTTCTTCCTTTGATCTTCTTCCATATCTCTTCTCTGTCCTCATAATTAAGGAATTGTACAATTATGTCTCTCGGTCTTTCTTTACCCTTTCCTTGTTGGGGCTTTCCTATTCTATATACACCGTCCAATTTAAGAGTCTCTGATGCAGATCTATCCATTATAGTATTCAACATTATTTACATATTATACCCATTAGTTCTTTTCCATGTGAAATCTCTGGCACTCCTCGAATCCTTAGATTACTTCTCCTATCCCTATTTTCTTGATCCTCTATTTTATATAGCAGCTTTCTTTGCTCTTTTCTCTGTTCTATCGTCCATTTTTCTAATTTCAGAATATTTTGGGCATTTTTATTCACTCTTCCCTCTGTCTCTTCCACTCTTGATAACATTTGCCCCAGGTCTTTCTGTATTATTGCCATCTCGTTTTACTTTTATTTTTCAAGACCTTTAAACATTTCTGCTATTTCTTTTTTATTTGGCATCTGTAGGTCGCTTTCTTGTTCTCCCACCTCCACTCTTTCTTTCACTTGTTGACCACTATTAGCCATTCCCAGGGATAGTCTAGGACTGTCTTCCAAACTGATTTCCATCTCACTCCTTTCACTTATTCCTTGTTGTCTTTCTGCGGTTAGATTCCCCTGTGAGGGTATATATTTTTTAATTGTACCTGTTAGGGAACCCTTGGGCCCACTTCCTTTGGCCGCTTTATTTTTCATGCCGCTGTAAAACTTGCTTCCCTTATCCAAGTTCTGGGGGGGGGGGGGAGGGGGTTTCCTCTTCTTTTATTGTCCCGCTTGTCACTTTAAATTTCCCTCTGCCCAATTCTATTCCTTCTAGGTCTTGTACTAGAATAATTTTTGTCCTCCTTTTTTCCTGGACCCCCTGGATGGTCTCCCCCCACAATTTCACAGTACAGTTCAGCTCCTTCCATACAGTTCCACTCACCCTCCTGTAGTTCTCTCACTTGTATGGACCGGCTTCCGGCTCTTCTCTCTGGGGGCTGCGATTCCCCACAGCCCCTTAGAATGCTGCTCTTCTTGTTTAGGGGGAGACTCCCCCACCGGGTCCTCTACCTTCCCGATCCTGCATGTATCTGTATGGATGGGGGATCAAATGCAAGCCCCTATGCCCAAGGAGAGAGTCGGCGTCTTCCTCTGCCTGTAATCGCCGGCCAGCTTCTCCTCCCAGTACTCCCTTGAGGAAGGTCACGTGGTCGCCACCATGTCCTCCAGACTCCAGGACACCCCCCGCTCCGGACGGAGACCGTAGCCGTCCCGCCGCGGTGGATGTCAAGCACTCCGTCCACCTCTCCAGCTGGCTCGTCCCATGTCCTCTGCATTCCGCAGTTCTCTCTGGGCCTCCAAACCTCCCCTCTCACAGGTAGGTCTCTGAGCACTTTGCGGACATCACTTAGCAGCCTTTGCAGGACAGTTGCAGTGCAGGCAGCTCTCACATCGAGCTCTCCTTCACTGCCATAGTCAAGCTCCTCCCTCCCTCGTCATAAGAAAGCTCTTAATCTCTGGGATGACAACATCGGCAACACAGTGTTCGAGGTAACCACTAAAGACAATGAGTTGGCAGCTACCATAGAAGACCAAGAATTCTTGAAAACCATGAGTAAAAAGTTCTACCAAGATGATTCCAACAGTTGGGTAGCACCTCTACCATTTCGTCCTTCACTGCCATAGTCAAGCTCCTCCCTCCCTCCCTCGTCATAAGAAAGCTCTTAATCTCTGGGATGACAACATCGGCAACACAGTGTTCGAGGTAACCACTAAAGACAATGAGTTGGCAGCTACCATAGAAGACCAAGAATTCTTGAAAACCATGAGTAAAAAGTTCTACCAAGATGATTTCAACAGTTGGGTAGCACCTCTACCATTTTGTACCCCAAGAAAGAGACTACCAAACAGCAGGGTACATGCAGAATCTCGGTTTGTTTCTTTAAATCGCAGTTTGAACCAGAAGCCTGAGATGAAAAGGCACTTTGTGGACTTTATGCAGAAGGTGTTTGAGAGTGATCATGCTGAGCCTGCACCTTCTCTTATGGAAGTAGAAGAATGTTGGTACCTACCATGCTTTGGTGTCTACCATCCTCGCAAGCCTGATCAGATTAGGGTGGTCTTTGACTCAAGTGCTCGTCATGAAGATGTCTCCCTCAATGACAATCTTCTCACTGGTAATCTGAACAACAAACTCATAGGAGTTTTACTTTGCTTCAGACAAGAGCCAATTGCTGTTATGGCTGACATTCAGCAGATGTTCCACTGTTTCATCATCCGTGAAGACTACAGAAACTTCCTCAGGTCCCGATGGTACCGCAATAATGATGTCAACGATGAAGTCATAGACTACCGAATGAAGGTACATGTTTTTGGTAACAGTCCTTTTCCTGCAGTAGCAAGTTATGGACTGAGGAAAACAGCTCAAAAGGTTGAGAAAGAATTTGGATCTGATGCAAGACAGTTCGTCGAAAGGAATTTCTATGTAGACGACGGACTCAAATCTCTGCCCAATGAGGAAGAAGCTATTGACCTTCTTACCAGAACCCACAACATGATTGCCACTGCAAACCTCAGACTTCACAAAATCATCTCTAAGAGCAACAAGGTCATGATATCCTTTCCTTCTGATGACCATGCTGTCAGTGTGAAGAAATTCCAACTAGGATCTGACCTTTCTGTTACACAATGCAGTCTTAGATTGCTTTGGAATGTTAAACAAGACACATTCACAAGCATCAGCCTGTGACAAGCCCTTCTCAAAGCGAGGAGTATTGTCTACAGTGAACAGCATTTATGATCCGTTAGGTTTCATTACACCTCTCACCATTCAGGGTAAGATACTGCTGAGACAACAAACTTCTGAAAGCTCAGACTGGGATACCCCCTTACCCAAGGAGAAACAACAAAGGTGGAAATCCTGGAAACAATCTCTAATTCCTGGACAATGGCACTATGTTCCCACTAGCCTTAACCCTGCTGACCGCGGCAGTCGTGCAATACCTACTACTGCATTTCGGGACACATCTAGGCTATATCCACCATGAAAGAAGGTTCTGCACACCTTTACTTCAGGCCTATAAAGAGACTAGTACTTCTTTTGCCCAAAGAGGAAGACAAGTCATCAACCTGATTTAAAGGGAGGTAAGAAGGAATCGTGCATATTGCTGCATTCCCTCTAAATATGAATTTCCATGTCTCAGCCTGGACTTTTGAGACCAACATCTGCAAGTATTATGCTAAATGTTTGCATTGTTTTCCTTTGTTCTTCCCTTCCTTCTTGTTTTGCAGATGTTCCTGGAAAGAATCTTCATTATTTATACTGGACTTGAACTAAAGTTATTATAATAGAAATCATAGATTCCGATGGGGAGTGTCATGTTCCACATGACTATCATATGCCTTTAAGTGGTTCTATATTTTGTTTCTGCTCCTCCCTTTCCTTTGGTTTGGTTAATGCTGTATGGATAGCTCTCCCCCTTTCACAGAAATGCATTGCAGCTCTAGCCTCATGTCATGGAGCAGGAAACATTATGATCTTTTGACCTATTGAATGTTCATTGTTGTAAGATTCTCTCAGTTTATGGAATAAACTTCACAAGATCTACAAGATGTCTTATCGTTTGAGTCACTGACTGTGATATCCAACTGAGGTTGAACTTATCGCTATCTCATCACAACTGTAAGTTACAGAGATCACACTATCAATGCTTAGATTGGAGAGACAGAACAATTATATTTTTGTATAGCTCTGATAGAATCCACAATGCTGTACAGGAAACACTGAGACAGTTACATCAGTCAGAACCAGAGTAGCTTACACTCTAATATCCCCACCACAGTCACACTATTATAATTAGACCTTTTCATTGCTCTGACATATTACACAGTGCTGTACAGAGACCAGTGACAAGCTTAGCTGTAATAGTTCAGTCTGCACAGTGTATCTATTTACAGAGTAACTGTTTAAAGTGTTACAAACACTAAATTGACTTGAATTTTTGGCAGCTCTTTGAGAGGTCAGTCCTGGAATGTGGCAGTCATAGTAATCAGCTATATTTACTACAAAGTGTACCTTGGCTGGCACTCCCTTCCTGCGCAGAATTCATGGACTGGCTCAGGGCGGGTCAGAGCATCACAGTGCGAGTCGTCTACTTCCACCCCATCGTATCGCACACACATGGCATAGTTTGACATCACTCCTGTCCAGGAAAAATAAACTATCACAACAAATAGTTACATGGACTAGATATTGGATCTGTAGAATGTAATCTATAAAGAGAACTTGACACGAGCACATAGACTGACAATAGAAACGTAGAAGAGTGATGGCAGACAAAAGACTGAGTGGACCATCAAGTCTGCTCCATTTGACATCACTTCTAACAGCATCATTCCAACCATTTGCTATAAGCAAATATTACTATGCATTACAAATTACAGTAGTAGATTATTTCTCAAACGCAGCATGGAGAACGTGGCATTAATCCAAAGCAGTCAATCAAAATGTACTCTTACCAGCACAAAGTGGATCCTCCATAAATACTTTGGCAATATACTCTTTAAAGCAGTGTTAAACCCAAAAGCAAATATTTACTATACTGCAGTTCACCAATTGTTAGATAAGATGGCTGCATTCATTTTTTTGTTATGATTTTTTTTTATTTTATTTTCACCTACTGATCTAAGGCACTAAGTCTGTTGATTTTCAACAGAAAAAGATTTCCTGCAGGTGTAGCAGTTAGCGAGTTGGGACAAAATATTTACCACTAACAGGGTGCTTACAATTATCAAGGGGCTTGAGAAAGGGGGCATTGCCCTTGAAACGCATTGCCACCCACTGCCTTCCCCTGTGACAGATTACCTGACTGAGATGTATATGGGTTGCGGTTGGAGACGAAGCTGGTTGCCGGCTGTGGAGTGGGTTCTGCATTACAGTAACAAGGCTTACTGACCATCCAACCTTCTTCCTTTGGCTGCTGCTGTATTTCTTCCTGGCACCCTGAGCTTAACACAGGCATTTTACATGTGAGTGAAGCTATTTTTTCAATAAATGGTTTGATGGTTTTATTGATGCCTGTGCCCTCACTGCTTTTGTCTTTCTGCATGTGCTCATTTGGTTTGGTCCCAAGATCTGTATTCAGAGGAGCTGCAGGATTCATTTTATGAACGCAGTCATAGATGGACTTTTTCTTACTATTTCACAAGGCAGGAGCTATGTGTACTTGAATGCAGAATGTTTTTGTGTATTTAGTTACTTTCACACATATACTTACTGTATATCTTCTGCAGGTTTTTATTGTGGTTTATAAAAATTATACCTGTAGATGCTCCCCTCCCCCCAATCCTTTCTTTTTGCAGAGTGCTGGGAATGATAAAATGGCAAACATAGCGCCTGTGTTCAGACAAGTGACTGTGGACATTTGACTGGTGGCTGAGAATAGTATTTGTAACAGCGTGTATATTGAGAATCCAGAGCCAGGCACAGTGGGATAAGGCAGACATTAATCTGGATGGAAAGTCCCACTAATGAGCTGACATTTCATACAGTATAATTCTCTGGAGGAGAGGAAGGGGACATGGCATGGGAAGGTTGTCTTTCAGCCACAGAAAGAGCCTTGTCTGGATTCCCAGTCAATGCCCTCCTGCCAGAGGAAACCGGGCTCATTCTTACACAGGGCATTTGCTGGCTGCCAACAGGTGATGTGCAAATCTCTATGTAACTGAGCTGTCCAATAAGGATGAGAGGAGTGATTTTAATGAAATTGATTTCACTGTGAAATGACCATTTTTGCTGTCAACAAAATTTCACAAAAGAGTAAACTCTCAATTTCACTCATCTGCTTATGCCAAATTTGGCTAAAAAAAGGAAAACATTCTACTCTTTGATCCCCTTTATTTAGAGGGTGTTTGAATGTGTGTTTAGGGGGTGTATTAGGGAAAGTTTATTTTTTCACTTAATGTTCTGTGTACTTGTTATTCATGTACAGTCTCTTAAATTTTTTTTAGTTATCTTTTTCCACTGTCTGTTTTTTATTCTTGTTAGAAGCAATGGGCAGCTTTTTTTGGAACGGCAACATTTACAAGATAGTTTAACCACTCCGGAAGGTTTTACCCCCTTCATGACCAGGAAATTGTTTGCTATTCAGCACTGCTCTTCCTTTAACTGACAATTGCTCTGTCATGCAACTACACCAAAATAAACTTTACATCATTTTTTTTCACACAAATATAGCTTTCTTTTAGTTGTATTTATTCTCACTGGGTTTTTATGTTTTCCTATGTAAACTAAATAAACTCTATAAAATATCTAATATTTTGAAAAAAAAAACCCACCTTTTTCTTCGTTTCTGTTATAAACTTTTGCAAACAAATCATCTTTCTTCATCAATTTTAGGTTAAAATGTAGTCTACTATGTTTCATTGGTAAAAATAACCCAAATGTAGTGTACAGTTGCAAGAAAAAGTATGTGAACCCCTTGGGATTACGTGGAGTTTTGCATGAATTGGGCATAAAATGTGCTCTGAACTTCATCTAAGTCACAACAATAGAAGAACACAGTCTGCTGAACATAATACTACACAAACATTAGATGTTGCCATGGTTTAATTGCACATAACATGTAAACATTCACAGTGCAGGGAGGAAAAAAGTATGTGAAACCTTTGGACTTAACTGGTTGACCCTCCTTTGGCAGCAATAACCTCAACCAAACTTTTCCTGTAGTTGCAGATCAGACCTGCACAATGATCTGGAGTAATTTTGGACCACTCCTCTTCACAAAACTGTTTCAGTGTAGCAATATTCTTGGGATGTCTGGTGTGAATCGCTCTCTTAAGGTCATTCCACAGCATTTCAACCGGGTTGAGGTCAGGACTCTGGCTGGGCCACTCCAGAGGGCGTATTCTGTGCTGTTGCAGCCATTGTTTTGTTGAATTACTTGTATGCTTTGGGTCATTGTCCTGTTGCATCACCCATCCTCTGCGGAGCTTCAGTTGGCGGACAGATGGTCGTACGTTTTCCTGCAAAATGTCTTGATAAACTCTGGAATTCATTTTCCCATCAATGACAACAATCCGTCCAGGCCCTGAGGCAGCAAAGCAGCCCCAAACCATGATGCTCCCTCCGCCATGTTTTACAGTGGGATGAGGTTTTGATGTTGTTGTGTGCTGTGCCTTTTTTTCTCCACACATAGTATTGTGTGTTCTTCCCAAACAACTCAATCTTGGTTTCATCTGTCCACAGTATATTTTGCCAGTAGTGCTGTGGAACATCCAGGTGCTCTTTTGCAAACTTCAAACGTGCTGCAATATTCTTTTGGAGAGCAATGGCTTCCTCCGTGGTGTCCTCCCATGTACTCCATTCTTGTTTAATGTTTTCCTTATTGTAGATGTGTCAACAAAAATGTTAGCATGTGCCAGAGATTTCTGTAGGTCTTTAGCTGACACTCTGGGATTCTTCTTTACCTCATGCAGCATTCTGCTCTGTGCTCTTGCAGTCATTTTTACAGGACGACCTCGCCTAGGGAGAGTAGCAACAGTGCTAAACTTTCTCCATTTGTAGACAGTCTGTCTTACCGTGGACACATGAACATCAAGGCTTTTGGAGATACTTTTGTAACCCTTTCCAGCTTCATGCAAGTCAACAATTATTGATCGTAGGTCTTCTGAGAGCTCTTTTCTGCGAGGCATGGTTCACATCAGACAGTGCTTCTTGAAACCAGTAAACCCAAAACAGGTGTGTGTTTTTTTATGGGCAGGACAGCTGTCAGCAATACATCCAATATCATCACACTGCTTGGAGTCAAGGTTGGCTCACTCCTGGCTCCAATTAGCTCTGGGAGAAGTCATTAAGCTAGGGCCTCACATACTTTTTCCTCCCTGCACTGTGAATGTTTACATGTTATGTGCAATTAAACCATGGCAACATCTAATGTTTGTGTAGTATTATGTTCAGCAGACTGTGTTCTTCTATTGTTGTTACTTAGATGACGTTCAGAGCACAGTTTATGCCCACTTCATGCGAAACTCCACGTAATCCCAAGGGGTTCACATACTTTTTCTTGCAACTGTAGATTTTTTGGTGTACAAACTATGGTATACACTGTATATTTGAAAACTGATCAATCCTGATGTACTGACAGCCTGTCTCACTTCTTGAGACCCTAAAAAACCAGAACAGTACAAATGACCCTTTTTTGGAAAGTAGGAAGTTCAAGGTATTTAGTAAGAGGCATGGCGAGTTTTTTGAAGTTGTAATTTTTTGTTACAATTTGTATACTGACACCAGTGCAGTACAGCATTATCATATGACTAGTGTGGCGGTGATCAAGGATACTGATTGGTGATAGTATGCAAATAATTTTTATTACATTTTTTTAAACATTTTGTTCTTCTTTAATATTTTTTGTAGTTCAGTTTTAACTGTCACGAAAGGCTTTCATTCATGACAGCTTGCTTACTATTGTGATGCTGTGATTGACTACAGATAATCACATGGTACAGGGTGCCAGGTACCATGTGATAGCTGTGGGACAATCACAGCATCACAATAGTAAGGACGCTATAATAAATGGAAGCCATTCATGACAGTTTTGCTTACATGCAACCATAGCGAACTGTGGCTGGGTACCAAGCACTGTGTTCCACTGTGTCAACCAGACATAGTGGTCACAGCATTGCGCTGCTGCATGCCCCAGGAGGTGATCCAGTGCACATGTGCTGAGCGATGCACTATTATGTCGCCTAAACTTTAGACCCAACCCGCCCACAGTAAATGTACTGTGGACGGGTGGTTAAGGAGCAAGTGGTTAAGGAGCACACACTGGGCATTTAGCAATGGTGCATGAGGTTCCAGAATTTAGATGCAGGTGGATAAAAGTCTGACAGCTGCTGTGGCTGGAAGGGGCTGGGCGCTGCACTTAGCAGTACTTACGTTTAAGGCAGTATACACCCAAGGACAAATGCCCAGAATGCAGATTGCTTTTGTTTTGGATATTCGTCCCTGGGTGTATGCTCTAAATGTACTTACAGCTATGTGCACTACTCATTTTTTTTTCTTTTTGCAGGATGTTGGCCACAAGGCATCATGATTGATATGGATCGGCATGATGTGATTGACAATGGATTTACAACTAGGGCCATTTGTTGGCTGGATTTTTTTTAATAAAGGACTTACCAAATGTTTGAGTATCTTTATTTCATGAATAGGTAGGGGTACTATGTGCACCATACTTATTCACATGGGGGGGGGGGGGGTGCCTGATATCTGGGTGCACCCTTATTTTTAAAGAGGGCTTTCAGATTCCAATAAGCCCCCTGCCCATACCCCCCCCCAACCAAAGGGCTTGGTATAGATAGCCTGAACCCCCTTAAACACTTCCTGACCGCTCTATAGCAGAAATACTGCTACAGGGTGGCACAGGTGTGCAAAATCACGTATATATACCCGCGCCACCATTCGCGGTGATTACTCACAGGCGCCCAGTGATTCCCGAACATCTTCAATGGGGAGGAGAACTATTTGTAAACAAAACAGTTCTCCTCCCTGATAGCTCCTGCACACTGCTTTGTATGGCTGTGCACAGCTGTGCACAGCACAGCCATGCAAAGCAGTGTGCTTACAGTGAAGCACACGGACACAGCACATAGTGAAACAGCACATAGCACACAGTTAACCCTTTGATCACCCTCATGTTAACCCCTTCCTGCCCAGTGCCATTAGTACAGTGTCAGTGCTTTTTTTAGCACTGATCACTGTATTGGTATCACTGGGGATGTCAGTGACACCAAGTCAGTTCCCCCCAGTGTCAGAATGCCTGCCGCAGTCCCGCAGCAATCCCACTATAAGTCGCTGATCGCCACCATTACTAGTAAAAATAAAAATAAAAAAACAGTATATATACCGCCAATTGTAATTGTAAATGCTATAACTTTCACGTAACCCAATTAATTTACACATATTGGAATTTTTTCTAGCAAAGACATGTAGAAAAATACACTTTGGCCTAAATTTATGACAAAATTTAAATTTTTACATTTTTTTACTGGACATGTTTAATAGCAAAAAGTCAAATATTGTTTTTCTCAAAATTGTTGGTCATTTTTTTTTATAGTACAAAAAATAAAAACCGCACAGGTGACCAAATACCACAAGAAGAAAGCTCAATTCATGGGGAAAAAAAGGGCATACATTTAATTTGGGTGCGGCGTTTCATGACCGTGCAATTGTAAGTTACAGTAAAGCAGCGCTGTAATGCAAAAAATGGCCTGGTCAGAAATGGGGGGAAATCCTCTGGAGGGAAAATGGTTAAAGTCCATACCAGACTCAACAAGTGTGGTATATATCTTGGGGGGAAATCTATGCGATGTTTTCTTTCATTCTTTTTTCATTCTTGCATTAGGATGTGCTACAGCAACAAAGAAATTTACAAAAACAAAATGAAACTGTTTAAATTGCTGGCTAATTACATTTTTTTGCCAGCTTCTTTGTGAAGAACAGTTGGTTGGATAAGCTGGAAAAAAAAAACAATCTTGTTCAGAGCCCATCCCCTGCTGGCTGTAAGTGGTAACTATGAAATCTGCTTATGTAATAATTCATATCTACTTTATTAAAAAGAATCCAATTTTTTTTTTTAAAGAAACATGTAGAAACAATATATATTACCTTTAGGAAACAACGCTATACATAAAAAGACACTCCTCACACTTCTGAGTAAAATATATTTCTTTGTACTGAGTTGCCATGTGACAGCTGATAGCTGGGTGTGGCTGCTCTGTATCTCATGGAAGGGAGGAGGAGGAACAGGTGAGCTCACAAGAAGGAGTGTCACCATTGTGAAGATATATTTACTAATAGCTCACTGGGCATGGTGCTATCCACTGATCCATAGTAGGACCCTGATGATGCACTGAATTAAGCAAACATTCTTGACTAACCTGTAGTGCAGGTAGCACTGCATGGCTCATGTGAAGACAATTTCCAACGGTACATGTCCACCGCACTGATCCCCTGTACCTTCCGCTGCAATTTTGGGCCTTTTCTATTGACAGACAGAAGATAAAGATATAAGCACCTAGACTGCCACTGCTATAGCAGCTTTACAAGACAGACACCAAAAGAAACCTGTTACTGCTCCACAATAACCTAGGGGTTAAAGAGAACCAATCACATGTTAACACACCTCAAGGGTAAACAGAGCTGTTACAGAAATTGTAAACTTGCAGACATATTGATGCACATTCAAAGAAATGGCTTCAAGCTGATTCTGGGGCTTGAGAGGCAAATGCATTCATCTTTCAGCCAATGGTGTTTCTTCTCAGGAGGAGCATGAGGTCAACACTTGACTTACATGCACTTTAGGTCATGCGTCAACAGATACTGTGTGCTCTTTAGGTCTGGTAAGAAATGACTGGTTCTCATTACTGACAGAGAGGGCAAATGCGTCCAGACCCAGGAGGTCACAGGGCCGAGCTGGGGCTCCTACTTCCACTCAACAGCTTTGTGCTCACATCCCTTTCTATCTGGCCGAGTAAGTCCAATGAGTCAGATAGCTATTACATCCCAAAATTATAGCTGGAGTGAAATTTAAAACACTATTTAAAGTGGAACTCTTGCCAAATTGTTTTGGATAGAGTGAGGAAATGCTAGAACATTTGCCGGGTTTTTATGGCTGTCTGTTTCCCTGCTGGGAAGATTCACACTCTCCTCCATTGTGGTTGAGATGTAACAGAATCACACGGATAGAAATAAAAGCATATTTTAGTTTTTCCCTTGTCCTTGCTGGAGAGGCTTCCTTTCACTTATTGTATAGCTACCAGGTCAGGAAATAGGGAAAGAATCTCCCCAAAGGAAAACCTGACAAAGGATCTAAGCCTCCCACACTCTAAACAACACTGAAATAAAAGAAACAAAAACTTTTTTTGCTTGTAGTTACACTTTAAAACTTAATTCCTCTTCTAATATCTTCAACTGAAGAACATGATGACTGCTAGACTTGCTCCTGAATTCTGTCAGTAACCCTTGTTGTACAGCATAAAGCTTCCCTTTTCTTATCCCCCAGTAATCTATATATTAAAAAGGTAAAGTTTATTAATTAGCAAGGAATAGAATTGATTTTTTAAGATATTTGGTGACCCCAATATTCGAACTGTCCCAGTGCTCTGTGGCTGTTAGTAGTGCCTTTGGCAGTAGCAGGGTTTGCTTTGTACATGCGCACATATACATAATGGACAAGTGATTGAGGTGTGTGTGTTTTTTTCACAACATACCTGTCCTTTTCCCCAAGTAGAATCCCCTGGGTGGTTAGAAGCAGAGCTTCCACTGTCTAGAAAAAGAGAATTGGGATAAAAAATACCCAGTATAGACACAGAATATAACAAAAAAATAGCGATTGTTTTCTTTCTCATCGTTTTATTCATACAGGGACAAAAGTGACACCATCCTGGCTAGAATCAATACCATGGCTCAGCACTGACAGCAGTCTGTTCCTTTCTCTGCTGTTAACGAATTGATAAACTGGATTTTTTAAAGGACTGTGTCACATTTAGAAGAGTCCTTTAAAAATGCACCCCCTTCCCTGTACCTGTATAATGGGGTCCAGTCCACGGGATCCCTTTTTGTGCTGGAGATAAGCCCTGAAGGAATCGGGCCTCCACAAAGGGAGGACCTATCTTGAAAAGTTTAGAGCAGTGGAGCATTCTGTCTGCCCTGCCTCCCATCCTTCCCTTCCCCACACCTACCTACCACCATTTGGTAACACAGGTTCAAAGTCCCTCAGCGGATACAGTCAGAGATGGGAGTTTGAAATTGTGTTTTGTCTCCTTTGTGGAATCCCGATTTCTCCAGTGCTGGCCTCCAGCAAAAATTGGGGGAGCCCGTGGAGGGAGCGCCATTATACAGGTACAGGGATTGAGGATGCTTTTTAAAGGGCATTTCCAAAAGCAGAAATGTCCATTCATTGATGTTCAGTGACTGGATACAGTACAAGCAGGCAAAATGTGGTGCTATACATTCTTTCATTGTACCATCCACCAATAGGACAAAGAAAATAAAATACCATATATACCAAATTTGACCTTTATATAAAAAAAAACAAACCATTTCTTTAAGGCTGAAAAAATTCAATTTTATTTGCAGCTTTTAAAGTGTGACCCCTCTATAGATCCATTATGTTGACTTATATTCATGCATTTTCAATCAACGATTTTTAGGAAAAAAAAAAAGAAGAGGAGAACCATCCAAGGGTCAGCAGGCCATTTTGGAGAAGGAGTGTCCTGGTGTGAAATGGACATGTGGAATCCACGTGTCCACATGGCACTTCTCTTCAGTAACAGCTAAGAGGGTGTTTTGACCTACATTTTGATATCTCTGGGATGGAAAATAAAGGAAAATCTGAATGGGAGACAAACATAAGCTCTAGGTGTTAGCACATCTGTCTTGCAGCACTAGGGTCTATGGTTTGAATCCTAACCAGGACACTATTTACATGGAGTTTGCATGTTCTCCCTGTACTTGTGTGGGTTTCCTATGGGTACTCCAGTTTCCTCCCACACTCCAAAGACATGCTGGTAGGTTAATTGGCTTCTGTCCAAATTGGCCCTAGTAAATGTCTACAAGTGAGGTAGGTTCCTTGGACTATACATTCAGTCAGGGACTGATGTTAATGTACAGTATGTACAGTATGTAAAATGCTGTGTACATTTTCAGCACTATATACATATCTGTAATAAAAGAAAACCTGACAGAAGTTCTAACCATTTTCTACAGAAAAAAATGGCTTTAATAATAACCAGAGTTCTTTGCTTTCTTTCAAATACTAGTATGCTTTGTTATAAACACAGAGGGAAAAAACATGATGCTAACATAAGCTTTAGATCATATTTGTGCTATAAAAGTAAACACCTTGGTAACTATGGGCAGCTTATTTTCATCCAATGCATAAATTAGCCCTGATACTGTAAAACATGAATAGTTACAGTAGCATTAGTTACCTGTTTCAGTGGTTCCCATGGTATTTTATGCATTTTCACTGCAATACCAGCCTCTGCTGCTTAATGTGGCCATAGACCGAGGTGCCATCTGACCTCAACTATGTGTCTAGGACCTGTGCATCTTCTAAAACTTGTATGAACACTATTTCCTTCCAGGATGTGTCGACTATACGCAATTTTATAGAATCCTGGGTGTGCTGCTGTACTCACTCTGTGTTCCTTGCACTCACTGATCTCAGGCAGACCGTGATGCTGAATAGATCGTCCCAAGCCAGCCCGAGCCCAGCCTGGAGGCCACCCCACCTAGTGCTAGAAGACCACCTCTCAGGCCATCTACAGCTTCCTCAGCACTCCATCTTCCCCCCACTCCCCTGCCAGCCTAACTCTCCCATATTCATGGTTTGGCCGAACCACTTTAACAGGACCTCTAAGCCTGGGATTGGTTAGACTCCCATAAACATGCATATTAGGTCTCCATCTCTTCCTCCCACCGGCTTCTGGAAGCATCCATGCTCCTCCATAACTGTGTGAAAGCAATAAAGTCCAAACCTGTTATGCCATCCAGCCTGACCTGCAGTAACCCGACCTAATCACAGACTCACACAGTTACCATGAGTAATACCCAAGACATTTACCTACACTACCCTAGTAGCACACTATGGGGTACTACACTTCATTAAGGATTCAGGAAAAGTTTGAGAACAAACAGATTATCTCCCTCTGCATTTGGTGAGATATTTGCCCTATCTTTGGCTAGCCTTGGTTGACAAGTTAGTCTGACCCTATTCGCAGCGTTGAGGCAAACATGTTAAACCAAAACTTGCTAATCAAACAAGGTTCAGGCAACTTTTTTTTAGCTTCAAAGCTTAAAAAAATTAACAAAGCTGGATATTTTTCGACAATTGAAACGGTTTCCTTTAAAATGTGACAGCTTTTGTAAATGAGCCCAGTGTTTTGACTACAGAAAACCTTGGCAATGTGTTGCCTTGGAGACTAGCGGCAAGATTCAGGATGTCACATAATTAGGTCAGGAAACAGTGAAAGATGGGCTAAAAAAGTCTTGCAATCTGCACCTTCATTATACCAATGGCTAAGGTCAGTCTTGCGTAGCTCAATGCAAACAAACAATGCAACTCAAAGTTCATCTGCCACAATAAATGGGGGTTATTTAGTGATTATGATACTATAGAGGGGTGTCTATAGGCCCATAAAAGAAAAGAAGAAGCTGTTACTCAGGCACTCTTCCAGCCAGTGCACTCAACACATTTTATATTTGCTGCCTGGTGACATTGAAGGTGTGTACAGAGTATTTTTAGGCAGAATTCTCTATTAACGTCTAGTGGGTGGCAAACTCCCAAGAAGAATATGATCAACCAGAGGAGATAATCACGTCCATGCAATTGGAAACAGAAATAAAGGATGACTGCTATCTCCTTACATGGGTGATATCATTCTTGGAGAAGACCTCATATCAGCTTGTTTGTAAACCTGAAAAGAGAGGTTGACCTATTGATGCTAAGACTAGTGAAAAATTATCTTATCTCAGCTGGAAAATATGAGGATAATGGCAGCCTGGGAACACTACTGACCTCTGTTCTTCAGCTTGGCCAAATCAATAACTGTTCCATTAGTGATCTCCAAACCTCAGTTTGCACACATTGGGTCCCCTAAGATTGTGCTGACCCCCTTCCCTGGCAGCAAAAGGCATTCCCCAATACATTTCTTGTAAGAAATCAGACTGTATCATAATTTACCAAGACCTTAATTATATTGTAATAATATGAAAACTAGATTTATTCTCAGGCTCTGCATGTTGAGTAATTCTAATTTAATCATGTGACATGTATCTTTATAGTTGGTTTGTTAGTTTGGCAGCCACCGACCAAACTTGTGCTACATCACTAGGTTCACTACTACAAATCACTCATACTGTACCTACAGTATGTCATAACAACAATATAGAAGAACTCCCATGATGGGACTTTAACCAGTTGGCACCGCCTACCATACATACAGTATACTGCGGCAGAGCAGCCGAACTGCGTCTTATTTAGTTTATAT